CATCCCTGGCTCCCATGTTTCTTACTAAATATGGTCCTGCAGAAAGTGCCAATGCTGTAGCCTTCAAGCAGGTGGGTGGCTTTCAGCTTGTGGAGCAAGCACAGGTAGAGGTCCCTCTGCCTTGCATCTGACTCGTCAAGCCCCAGGAGCCTTTTGGTGGTGAGCGAGAAGTTGGTCAGTTCTTTCTCTATGGATTAGACAAGGGATGAGAGTTGGAGAGAGTCCCTGCAAACCCCACTGATGAGCAAAGGAGTCCGTGTTTTTTAAGAAAGAAAGAAGGAAGAGCCAGGACTATGCATCTCCCCAGGGTGCAGTGCCCACACTGGGGATCTACTGCTGGCTCATCTTCCAAACCCATGTCTGGAAGTGCAGCGTCTCCTCTCCCACCAGTGCTTATCTGTGCCCTCAGGTCCGTATTGGTGTCCCGCCAGCCAGCTGTACCACGGCTGGCTGAGAAGAGGCTGCAGAGTGTCCTATGCCCACCTGCCTTCCCTTGGACAAAGGCCTGAAAGTGGCACATGCCCTGGCTCCCACTGATGTACTTCTCCAGCAGCCACTGGTCAGTGCTTTGCCAGTTCAGCAGTTTTGCTGTCAAAGAATGCAGAGCACGGCATTGGAGGTTGCATGCAGGAGCGGTCCCCAAGAAAGCCCTCCAGACCCCACCAGCATCCCCCAGCCTCCCTGACAAAGGCTGCCAGAGGGCAGGAGTCCTGTGAGCCAGGAGACAAGCAAATCACACCCAGATGGGAGTTTTGGACAGGACTGTAGGATGCACATGTGGTGTTTGCAAGGATGAAGTACAATCCACTTGTGTCAGCTATCAAGCCTCTTCCCTTTGCATACGTCCATCATTTTTGCTTGAATTTGGGGCTTTTCCCCAATCTCCTTCAGCTTGAGGTTCAACCCAACTAGAGAAGCAGCAGCAATGCCTTCAGAAACAGTACTGGAGCAAGCCTCAGTGGATTGCTTAGTATTCCAAACTGAAAATCTGCATCCCTGCTGCCATAGCTTTCTTTCCAGTGGCCTTCCCTTGTGTTGACATGCAGGTTGACAAAGCAGTTGGTGGGGCTGAGATGGCTCATTTCAGTCTTGCTGCTGGTAGGACAGACCACAGCATAGGCCTGTTTTCTCAGCATGGGATGCATCAGACGAGGAGCATATCACAATACAGTGTGAAAGCTCTGGACACTCCACAGAGCAGCAAATCTGAAATGCCAGGACCCCAGTTTCCCATGCCCAAGGATGCTCTCCAGCCTGGCTTGACCCATGAACTGTGTGGTACACCCTGCTAGGCTGCTATTTCAGCTCAACTCCACGGAGGCAGCAAGCCTGTACTAAGAGAGCTGTGGTGTAAAGCCCTACTCATCCCATTAGAAACCCTGAGATTTGCTGCGTCCCTAAAATGGGATGTACAATGCCTTTTTAACCCGGACCGGAGGCATAACCCGCTGGGCAGGCACCGGGCGGTGACAGCCCTGGCGAGAGGAAGCCCTGCTGCAGTGGGAAAGCCGCTCCAATTTCCTCTGTGCCATGATGACTCACCTGCTTCCCCCAACCGAATGAAACCCAGGAGCTTCTGGCAGAAGACAAGGTGGAGGCACAAGCTGGATTTGCAGAACTGAGGCAGGTGGTGCTTTTCCAGCTAAGCCCAGCAAAGCCGGGGGGCTGGGAATACTGCATTGCAACCCCCATGCCCAAGGAGAGGATTAGGCTGTGAGCAAGGAGCCATCTCTTTCCTGGGGATTAGGGTGAGTAATGGACCCCTGCTACAGGGAAAAGAGTCAGGGGAAGGCACCCTGTTGCTAGACAGTGATGCAAGCCATCCCCATGCTGAGAAAGAAGGGGATTGCTCGAGCTATAGCCCTTGCCTGCGTCCCCATAAACTCTGCCTGCAAATCTGGGAGACCTGGTGCTGTGTAGCTGCCTGCAAGGCTGTCTCTCCTTGCAGCCTGCCTGCTTTCCCGGAGCCCAGGTAGGAGTACACAGCAGTTTTCTGGCAGCACTGAGAAGAGCAGGTTCCCTTTTGTTATGGGATCCGAGTGCTGTAAACAGTGCTTGTGGCTGTGGGGAAGAGGGATGTCTGTGGGGAGGGCTGAGCCAGTTTGAGGATCAACAGGACTTCACTCCTGGTGAATTCAAAAGGAATACAGGACATAAGGGACTGATCTTTGTGTCCTTCCTCCCTGCCACCATACATGCTGTCCTTAAATTCAGCTATCGATGTTTACTGACGTCTGGATGGACCCCATAAGGGGGAGACTTTAAATGGCCAAGACTTTAAATGGTATGTGTTCCTCCCAGAGCTTAAAAGTGAAACGATGCCTAGGTTTGAAATAATCCCCTGGCTGCATGAACAGGAGAGCCAGAGATAAACAATGATAAACCAGCTCCTTTCCCCCCTTGCTCTGTGCCCTTCCTCCCTCCTCCTAACTCTCCTCCCTCCTTGCAAAGGGCATTTTTCTCACCAGGCAGCTCAGCAGCTCTGGTCAGAGGTCCCACCAGCCTGTGCTGTAAATGGGTGTCTGGCCAAAAACTTGTATTGAAAGGAAAGGGGAGAGCTGAAAGAGATGGAGGATGGCAGGGGAGCCCAAAGCCCAGCTGTTCTATTTAGTCCTCACTATGTAGAAGGGCATTGTGTTTCAGACCTTTTATCTCCAAGCTGAGTTCCTCAGGTTTCCCTCATTTTCCAGCCTGAGTGTGGTGTATTCCCAATTTTCCTGGGCCCTCTAACACCACAGAAGCTGAAAGTTCACCTGAGAAGAATTCAGAAAGGTCCCTGGCTTTATGGTGCTGAGTGGAGTTACAGGAAGATTCAGAAATGTGTTGAAAAAGTCGACAAAAACGTCATCTCTCAGCAAAAGCCCCATGTCCGTGGAGGCTATGGTTGCTACAAAGTGGGGGAAGAGAAAGTTATGTGGGCTTTGTGTTGCCAAGTGTTATGTGAATGTGGACCAAAGGATGAATTTTGAGAGGGACAGCTCTAGGGGATGTACAGTATGGGCTTGTCCTGTGCACACACAGGAGGATTTGAACCTGGGACAGCCCATGGAATTGGGTTCCTAGTGCACCCATGTGGTTTGGGCGGGTGGCCACGGGGTGTTTGGAAAGCATCAGGTTCAGATGCATGCTGGAAAGTTCAAATGGCGGCACCTTAAATAGTAAAGGTACGTGGTCTGCAGAGGCTGGACGCAAATGCAGTGGTATGTGTAGGGCAGAAGAAGGGAGGAGATGGCTGGAAGGGACAAGCTGTGCTCTTCCACCTCACCCAGGTGCCAGGTGTAACCCTGCTATCATGGAGAGGAACTGTGTGCTGTGCTCTGGTGCTGCTGCTCCAGCCCCACTGCCTTGGTGCCCTTTGGGTCTTCTTGCTCAGGTTGGTAGAAAATTCCCCCAAATTAGTAGGCACCTTCAGGCTGGGAGCAAGTTGTGGCTCTGAGTCAAGTGACAGTCGGTTTAGACCCCCACCCCATCCACCCACGACACCAAGGCAGTGTGTCAGCAGTGCCACCCCCACGCGAGGGTGTGGATTGGCATCAGCCTACTTGCGGAAAGGCACAGCTGTGTCACAGGGAAGACACACGTTTCAGAGGCCTTATGCTGTCTTTTCCCTGCTGTCCCCTTTGGGGTGTGCTTAGAGGGGTTGGAGCCTCCAGGAGAAAGGTAACTCACTGGTGGTCACCATGCTGCCATATCCCAGGGATGTGTTCTGCAGTGCCACGCTGCTTGTGACACACTTGTCTCCGGGAGGCTGTGGGGCTCTCAGTACCTTCCTCTTTTCTGTCCTTCAGGGAAATGTCACTTTTCACATCACGAGCCTGTAAGTGCACTTGGGGAGTCCTGAAATTAAACCTTTCCCTTCTCCCCTCTTGGGCAAACTTCTTGCCTTCAAACCAGGTGCTTGGTAGCACCTTGGCACTGGGTGTGGTTGCTATCAGCACATCTGCTTAGATGGTGATGGAAATTTCACAGGAGACTCTGCTGTGTCTGCCCAGACAGATTGGGAAAACTTGGGGTTGAAGCTGTCCTGCCTCATCAGGTCTGGGGCTGAGACCCAACCTTGGAGAGCCTGCTGTGGGACAAGGAGAAAGAAGAAACCACATCTCTCTTGCAGCAGCAGTGACCCGTTTTCCTGGCAGGAGGAGGAATCTGCTCCCCAGGTGGGTATTTGATCCCCTTGTCTGTAATGCTATGGTGTCAGACCTGGCAGGGCTGGTAGTGCCCTCCAGGTTTTGGGCACCATTATGCCTGGGGTCTCTGATGTGCCTTGTAGCAAAGAACTGGGTCTGCTTGTCTGTGGCTCTGTGCTGTCAGTGGGAGTGGGAAGGTGCTTGTGGAGAGTGTGGAGCAGAGGTTTTGTGGCCTCTGCTGCACTGAACATCTCTTCTGTACTTGCCTAAGTGGGGGCTGTAGGATAGACTCTGCCAACCTTGCGCTTCTAAGAAGCCCTGAGCTTTCTCGTTCTGGCCATTTACAAAATGCAGTTGTGTTATGTTGACCGTCGTGTCCCCTTCCGTCGCTGTGGCTACTGTCACCTGCGTGGGAACGGGCAGGTTAAAACACACCTAACAGTGTGCAGCCACTTCTGTGCAAGCGTGGGTGCAGGCAGCTGCCTGCACCCCACAGGGTCCCCAGGAGCGGGGCCACCTCACGAGGTGGCGCTGTCAAATCAGGAATCTGAAGCTGTCCCCAGCGGCAACGGGGCTCTGCGACTCAGCAATGGGCTTGGGACTCCACGGCTGCAATTAGGACGGGGACGACGCCTAATTAATTGTGGGGCTGGTGCTGGGGACCCCAGGGCGACAGTCCTGCACCGGCTCACTCTGTCACCCTGAGTTCGTGAGCTCTTTTTTTTGTGCATTGCTGTGCTGCCCTGGTAACCGGTGCTACACCAGGCCAGGAGGAACATGACAGAGACTTCTGAAAGCATGTTAGAGATCACAACTGAACTGTCTGTGCACACACGTGTGCCCTGGGGGGGGTCACCTCCTGCCACGCTGCATTAGTTCAGATGGTTGAACCTGCTGGGTTTAACAGCAGTGGATGCTGTGCACATCCTCGTGGTGACAATGGAGGGATGTTGTCCTTTGGGTGATACTTTGCTTTTGAGGGGTGGGGGTGAGGACTGGCTTGTGACCTTTGGCCACAGCCTGGGCACATCAGCTGGTTACTATGCCAAAACCCAAACTGAGATGGGGAAGGGACAACCATGAGCCGCAAAACATCTGCTTGTCCTCGTGGTGCCAGGCAGAGCTGTGGGAAGATGTTATGGGAGACCCTGTGGAGGAATAGCTCTGATCACAATCGTAAAGATTTGTGCTGCTAAACCCAAGAGATGAGGGGTTAGGGATGTACTGGCATGGTGGCTGTCTCGCATGTAAAAGTCGCAAAAGTCCTTGGGGAAAGGTTGCAACTGTCAAAAAGCCAGATTTTTCAGTTGGCAACTGAGCAGATGTCCAGTGAGAAACTCAGAGGCTGGTGTAGCTCTGCTGAGTGCCCATCCAGCTCTGGACTGACCTCAGCAGGACTGTGCTGGTTTCTTCCAGGAAAGGACCAAGGTTGTGATCAGAAACAGGCTGACACAGTTATGTGGGAGTGCACAGGGCCATTTCCATGGAGTCTCACCCTAAGAGATCTGGCAGGATAGAGCTCTGTTCAGCCCAGCTGCAGCTTGCCAGGGTTTTCCTTAGTCTGTGCATGGGCACATCGGTCTTGTTCGTCTTGCCACAATGGCTTCTTGTAAAAGGAGCTCACGTCAGCTGTGTGGCTATTAAGAAAAAAAAAAAGCTTAAAAAATAAGTCGACATATGAGCACAGCCCAGATTTAGAAGGGGGTTTAGAGAGGAGCGCAGCATGGCTGGACTCTTTGTACAATGATAAGGGCAGGGTTGCAACACCGAACACGTCAGGAGGGCTTTGCTCCCCCTCTCTGTGAGCCCAAATTACCCACGTCCTCCATCTCCATGGGGAGCAGCCCATCCTCAGCACACCTGAGGCCACCTCTGCCAGCAGCAGAGCCTCGTGCTCCTGGGATGGCAGAGGGGACGGGTCTAGGTTTCTTATCCTTGCCCAACATAAACTGGCACGGCTCACCATGGTGGTGAAGTCCAAGGCTGCCCCACCGCAGGATCAGCCTCACCACCTGCGGTCGCTGGCTGCTCGCAGCCTAACTGGCCCCTTTTGGTGCCCTGGGGGGGGTGGAGGCTGTTTCCCCCTGCCCTGCTGCAGTCGGTACCCACTGTCCCACAGCAATCCCATACACCTCAGTATTGCTTTTGGTCTGAGGTAATGGTCTACCACCTCTGTAACCTGGGAAACCCCAGCATGAGGAAGCAGTGCAAGCACCTTGCTGCACAAATCTGCTCACCCTCTAGCATAAATATTATATGCCCAGAGTGAGCTTTTGGGGTAAGATTATGGGTTTTTTTCCCCCCATACAGCCCAGCCTGTTCTCATATAAATAGTTTAGGACACTTTCAAAGACTGTCAGCAATGGGCATAATCCTTTTGGGCCCATAGCACCTTAAAACTGGAATTGTCTGAGGTATGGCAGTTCAGCTTTAAATATTAATTCCTTTCTGGAACATAGAAGGCTTATTTTTTTGTATGTGATTTTCATGGTTGGTCTCCTGGGTGTGTAAGACTTGTTTGCTCAATGAGGACATCTCTGGTATTTCCTTACATTAATTAGAAGTATTTTTGAGCCTATTGCCATCTGTCTGTAGCTTCCTTGCTTGGGAATGACTGTGAAGGCTGGGCTCTGACCCATTACACCTGACAACCCCTGAGGCAAGCTCTGTATTTGCTTGTCTCTTCTCCAGCTGAAGCAAAATCACTTGTGTAACCTTATATGAGTGCCTGGGTCTGTTGACTTCACCAGTCCAGGTTAAGCACTGTTGTGGCAGGACAGGGACCTATTTCAGCTGTAAAGGAGGGACATGGGCAACAGCACTTTGCAGTTACCTTTTATAATTTACAATGTTGGGCCAAGATTGTAGCATTGAATCCACTTGGGCAGCTCATTGAAGATTTCTGCACTCTCACGGTGCTGTGAAGTGTATTAGGCTGAAATTAATCTGCCAGCCACAGCTAACGTGGCCCTGACCTAGCTGGGAGTGTATTTAGCAGCATGAACAGCGCTAGTAAAAAAAGACAAAAAAAACCAAACAAAAAAAAACCAAACGGCAAAAACAACCCTGCCAATGCACACTGTGACCAATTTCCAACTGCAGGGAAAGGCATGTGCTGAGCACTCCCTGGGATATTCTCCACCCTTGTACAGAGCGAATCGAGCCAAGCAATTTCTAGGTCTCAAATCCTGCCTGCCCTGACGTTCTCATCTTCCAGCTTCCCCTGGTTGCTTTTGAAGGCGAGCACGTGCTTCTCAGCGGCAGCCCCTGCTCACTGAAGACGCTCGGCCTCTCCACAAGGTCTTGCATGCGTGCAGGGCAGAACTGGTGGGAGGTAGGTGCTGCCTGCCAGGGTTGCTGCCAGACAGGCCCAGAGCTGACAGTGGTGATGCCCCTGCCACAAAGAGCCCTCCCTGGGGAGAGCTGGGGAAGGAGGCTGCTGGGGGACGAAGCAATGCCATGGTTTCATGCAAGGGGTGGCAAGGTGGGCATCGGGCACAGCAACCAGCACCAAAGTGGCTGTGAAAGGGGTGGAGAGGGAGGTGCAAGCAGCCAGGGAGGTTTGCACAAGGTTTTCCTGGCTGCTGTGTTCCCCAGGCCCCTCTTCCCCTAAATGCCTCACAGGTGCATGTTGCAGCTGAGATGCACAGGGAGGGAGCTTTCTTTTTCTTTGCATGTGCCTCTGCACGTTTTTATTTATCAATTTGCTTTCCTAAATTGCCCTTCTGTGCAGCCCAGGTAATCTACTCTGCCTCTGAAAGTCCTCTGGTCACCAGCCCTTGGCTACCCTTGACCCTGGCAGCATCTTCAAAGGGAGAATGGGCCTGCTGCGGAGCGTGCAATGTTTGCTCACTTATCGGGCAAGCAGCTACTGCCTTCCTGCCTTGGGGGGTTTCGTCAGCCTCCTGCCACACTCCGGGGGAGACTGGTCAGCCACCGCTGCTTGCACAAGGTCAGTCCCTCCCCAGCACAGATGCTTCCCCGCCCGGTTGTGACCTGCCTGTCCTCAGTCGGTGACTGCTGTTTGAGTCTTATTGAGGGCAACTTGTTAATTAAGTGCTTGCTCGTCTCTCTAAGGATTTAGGTTCATTTTTCCAGCCCTTGCTAATCATAGGTAAAAGGGGCTACAACTCCAGTTCCTCCAGCCCTCTGAAGCCCTGGTCCCAGTGGCAGTGGGCACACTGTGGTGGGTCCAAGCAAAGGCAGCTATGCCCAGCAGTGGGCAGAGATGGAGGCAATGCAAAATCAGGTCATCCAGCCCATGTCTGGTCTCACTTGAGTGCGTTTCAGTTCCTGATGTGGTACATTGTAGCCCAGCGCTCTTTCCTAGATGGGTCTGAAAATGGTGTATCTGAATTTGGGAATGTCTTAGCTGTTGGGCACAGGGAGAGGAGAGATGCTGAAGATGTCCCTGCTTATTTCAGGGGGTGTTGGACTAGATGACCTTTAAAAGGTCCCTTCCAACCCAAACTATTTTACGACTCTATGCTTGTCCCTACTCCCTCCCAGCTGTGCCATTGCTAGAGTCTGGGGCATTTTGTGTGCATCAGGCTTCCTCCTAGGACCTAACCAGTCACAACAAAACGGACAGTTCCTCCTTCCTGTGTGGTATCTCTGTTTTTAAAAAAATACTGAATTTCTGTTTAAAATTTTTAGTGCTGGTGAAAGGCAAATGGGTAGCTGGGTTTAGCAGAGCAGGTCTGTAATCTGTTGGGGTTGAGATTCCAGGGGTGGCCAGGTCTCCAGCTGCAGGGTCTGCAGTCAGGGGCCACCCTTTGAGATGGCCCCAGGGAGCTGAGGAAGTCATAGCACTGAAGGAGCAAAGCCCTGCCCCAGGGCCTGAGCCACAGGGAAGTTTCATATCCTGCCTTTTTAACCCTCGAATTCTACTCACTCCCCCTCTTTTTTTTCTCCCTGTGGTGTGACATTTCCACATTTTAAGGCATTCCCAAATTGCGGAGGCTGCACTTTCAGGGGGTCTCAGCAGCCAGGCAGGGGTGTGCAGTTGCAGGGCAGCTAGGGGGGATATGAGGACAGGGATGGGCAGGGACACATGGACAGGGATGGGTCACAGAAGCCCCAGAAAGGCTGGGGAAGAGAGGGAAGCCATGACCCTTGGCTGCTTGGCTCCTGAAAAAGATGCCAGGGTGGTATCAGAGTGGGCAGGTCTCATGCCAAGTGTGCAACTCAACCATCCTGATCCCCAGACCTCTCGTGGACAGACCAGAGACCTCGGTGTGTGCTGTCCCTGCTGGGTTTGCGTTGCTGCCTTGGAGGCAGACGGCTGCAAAGTCCAGCCCTCCCAGCTCACCAGGCACTTTCCAACCCTGGCAATTCTCTCAGGATATAAACCGCGCCGGAGGGAAGTGCTGGGGCAGGCGAATAAAGGTGTTCCCACGAATTAATAGGAGGAAGAAAGAAAAACATATGCCAGTTGGGACTCGCCCCTGGAGCGGTGCATTGTCTCTGGCCAGCTCGCTGTGCATTTAGAGCGGGCCCTTTGAAGGCTGACTTAAATCCACTCCTGGGAGGTGTCACCTGTTGGCATCGTGCCTTCCCCAGCTCCCCGATGAGGTTTTTGTCTCGTTGAATGCTGGTGACAATAAGGGTCACTGGAGCACGCAGCTGGGCGAAGGCACAAGCTGAGCCGTGTTTCCCAAAAAAAACCCGGCAGCCTGGAAGGGGAGGAGGGGAAGGCAGGCAGTAAACAAGCTGCCCTGAGCCCTGCGAGCCGGGAAGGGGCCGCCGCTTTCCCCGCCGGCTTCCCGGGAGAGGGCGCTGGCAGCGGCAGCGCTCACCTCTTCTCCGCTGGCTCGTAAACATGTTGTGCAGGGCGAGGGTAAGGGGCACGGGCACGGGCCTGCCACCAAACCTGCCCGGGGCAGGGAGCGACACGTCCCAGCCTAGCCGTGGAAGCCTTGCCCACGCTGGGGGTCTCTCCCAGGCAGGGCTTTATCGGACGGAGAGGAGGTGTTTACACTGCAAGCTGCCTTTGCTCCCCACTTTCCTTCGGTGGTGTTTGGAGTTCTGTGAGTGAAAAGGGGAGCTGCTCACATAGGGTGAGGAGGGTCACCCCATGCCACAGGGACTTCCACCCGTAAATGCCCCCGGTTTTGTGGCCAAAGTTTCTGGGAAATTTGCGATTAGCAAGCACAGTTCCAAGAATTTGGAGCTATCGGAGATGAGTGTCCTGATTAAACAAACCTCTGCAAACTTAGGGAAAAGGGCTGGGCACGGCTTTACGTTGCCTGTGGCTTGACAGCTCCTCTTTATGGGAGCTATTTTGGGTCTCTTCTGGCCTGACTGGGTCTCAGCACCAGTTCCTGCCTCTTTTTGCTTCAGCTGAGCCATTAGATTCAGGTGACCACAGTTGAACTTGGTCTGAATATGAGATCCTGAGCTAATTTCATGGGTAAAACACAGCATCTGTTTCTGTGCTGAAAGTTTTGCTCTATGCATAGGGTACAGGAACTGGGGTACTGGGGGAAGGCAGTTCCTGTTGTAATGCTTGGTGGCTCTACCTTGCTCAAGCACCTGAATTTCACTTCCATTCTGGACAGCCTCGGGGGATTAACGCACACTTAAGGCTGCTGCAAAGTGGTGGTAAAGAATGAGCAGGGTTGTCCCCGGAGGGAGGGTGGGGACCCGGCTCTGGAGATGGGCGATAAATCAAGGCAAAGCCTTAGCCAGCACTTCCACCTCCTCCTGGCTGAGGATCCAGTTCTCCCTGGCCACTGTCGCCCCAGGCTCTGGCCGTGCAGAGGCTGTGTCTTCAGTAGGGTGGCTGCGATGGTCAGGAGGGTCCAGCTCCTGGAGAGAGCTCAATTTTGGTGTCGCCCACCTTTCCCCCGAGGCTGGTGTGGGGCAGACCCAGGATCCCATCACCCCAAGGCAGGTATGGGCATGGTGTGTTTGGCCTGGCACCCACATGTGTGTGCAGGGATGTGTGCAGGGGCTGCGGCTCCTTCTGCTAGTGCTGGCATTGCCCTCCTGCCCCTTGGGTCCGGGCTGGGAGGAGCAAGAGGGCTGAGCAGGAGTGGGGCTGGGACAGCCAGTGAGCTGCTGGGGTGGAAAAATACTGAGCAGTGCCTGCAGTTTGCTGGGTGCCCCTTGCCACCTGGGTGTCTCTGAAGTGGGTGCTCCTGCATCCACAGCAGGGCTGGCAGGATTTCTTCTCCCTTATGTGACAGTGACCAGGCCTGTGCCCTGGAGTGAGGGGCTTGGATGCAAATCCAGGTGCTGTAGCCCGTTATCTGCACCAAGGGGGAAAGCGGGACACTAAGCACCAGTGGCTTGTTCTCCCACCCCCAGAGTGGGGATGTGTAGCGAGCCAGTGCCTAGGCCCAGAACTGACTGGGGGGGCTCTCGTCCCTCCCTCCCTTCCCCACTGCCCTGTTTACCAGGGTGGCTGATTTCCATCCCTGGGAGTTATGCAAAGGCAGCCGCTAATGTAAACGCCGCGGAAAGCCCTGGATCTGCTCCCGCTGCCGCTTTCCCAGAACTAGGCGAGATGAAGGGTTATTTTTTCGGGCCGGGAGGGTTGCAAAAAACACACACCCACCCTCCTCCGTACCCTCTTTCCCTCGGCTTCCTGATCCCCCCCCGCCCCGCGCTGTCTCGGTGCGGGGCGAAGCGGGGGACTTCCCTCCCATTCCCGGG